ATGTTTTGGTTCTGATTATCATGTTTATCACGCTGAAATCATGCGTTTTAAACCATATTAGTTTAAACTTCTTATATACGGTTTTCTGAGGGCACACGTTCAGAAAGTGGCTGTCACAGCATGTGAGAACTAAACTCTAAAGTTCTCATTCACACACAAGTTTACGTTAAAAACACACGAGTTACAAAAACAGTCGGTTATGTCTGTGAAGGTAATTAGAACTGGTACACCGTTGTCCCTTGAAAAATCAAAATGACGGCATCGTGGGTGGAAACTTACAGATTAAGGGGCGGTAATATTATAATGAGATCCCTTTACCACGTCACTAGGGGAGCGAAATCAGAAAAAGGCTTGCCGAAAAAGGCTTAGTAAAACAAAGTTACTGGGTTAATCTTTTTCACTTTTCCTTGGTTGGTAGGTGTACCGGGGACCTGATTATAGCACTTAAAACCTGGAAAAGTCAGATTTTCATGATATGTCACCTTTAAGTTTAGGAATAAGGTAGGATTAGGGATGTACAATATGGTACGTATTTAAACACGAATCAGAGTTATGTCTTTTCTGTATGTACGGAGCAAGAAATAACAGGGTACATTTTGACTCATTAGCGTTGGGTTGCAAAAAGGTTTCCAACATTTCCAACAAAAAAATTTCCAACATTTTTTTTTAAAACTCTCCAGATATTTTGGAGTTTTCTGAAACTTTTGAAAAGTTTTTGGAAGTTTCCACCCCTTTGCAACATTAGTTGCCTGATCTTACTAGGAAAAATCTTAGCCCATAAATAAAAAACAAGCCCATAATAAATAAAATTAAAACAAATAAAAAACAAGCCCATAATAAACTTTTAATACATTTTCGGAAACTTCTGGTAAGCTTTCATGTATTTTCCACCCCTTTGCAACCTTAGTTGCCCGATCTTACTAAAAAAAAAAAAAAAAAAAAAAACCCAAAAAAAAAAATGGGACAAATTAAACATGGGAAAGGAACACCTGGGGAGCAAGACACAGACAAAACATGGAACAGAGTCTGACAGTTACTTGGAATCAATCAACAGGTCAAAAATTATTTTAGCGCATCCTCTGAACTTTCAAGCTTTGCACTGACAGGAATTTCAAGAGCCCTTATGATTGCCGAGGTCGAGTAGACTAATTTAAATTTTTCTCTGACAAGAATGAAAAACTGAAAAACTGATGCGTTTCAAGCGCAAGAGATTTTTCAGGTTGAGTGGAGAATGGAATTTAATCTTTTACAGCTCACGGCTCAGGTGATATTACATCTAGACTTACAGAGGTCACGTAATCAATTCATGTTCACACGCCAGTAAACGGCTGAGAGAAAGACAGAGCAGAGCCTGCAGTATTTAATCGCCATGAGCGTTTTAAACCGTGGCATATTAATCTTAACAAAACGGCCTTTAGCTGACCTAACACAAGCTCAAATCAAAATTAGGCCTGGTTCATCCTGCGGCACTTCCTGCAAAAGGGACAAAGTGAAAGTCTCACTTTGCTTTTAACCGTCTCGCATTTCTCCATAGTCTGTATTAAATGGCTGTTATGGAAATGGCATCTGAGCTGGGACTTCAAGGAAAAGTAGTGACTGGACTCTTGAGCACCGGGAACATTTGATAATCTTCTAAGCCAGATGTTTCTCATGAATCTCAAAAGACTTCAGAGATTTTTTTGAGGGTTCTTCAGTTTTCATGCTATCAAAATTCAGTGTAGGTGCTGCTGGTGGCCATAAAGAAACAAAACACTTGAGATGATTCGCTGGCACTTTTAAACCACAGTGGACCATCAGTTACGACAGTGGGTCCCAACCCTGGTCCTGGAGGCACCCCAACACTGCACATTTTGCATGTCTCCTTTCTTTGACACACCAATTTCAGGTCTTGAAGTCTCTACTAATGAGTTGATGACCTGAATCAGGTGTGTTTGATTAAAGAGACATGCAAAACGTGCAGTGTTGGGGTGCCTCCAGGACCAGGGTTGGGAACCACTGAGTTAGGACTTCATTGATGAGAAACCGTGAGGGAACTTCGCAATATGGAATCAAAGAAAACCAGGCAATTTGTTGGCTGGTTTCAAACATCTAAACAAAACGAGGCCACTGGCAGATGGTTGGTGAAGATGTTTCACACTTTTAACAACTTTCTCCTGTCCTTTAAAGTCTTTTCCACATATTAAAAATCACTTGCGACACTTACTGTGGCTCTTTAACGTGCAAGTTTCAGTAGTCTTTCTGATTAAAACCACAGCTGTTGCATGTACGGGAGGTCAGAAATGCATATATCTGTGACCTTTCGCATTATGAAAGCCCATCACTGTGGTGTAGCTCTTCAGGGGCACATCGAGAGAGCACCACTACCATGTGAGAGGCCTAATTAAAAGCTTCAGGACTGTAGAGCGACATAAAACTTTGGCAAATGGATGAAGCGAGAGTGTCGTACCTCCTGTGTGAGGAAAGAGAGGAGAGATGTAAGGGAGGTCAAAATAATGCTGGCCCTTCATCATTGTCCAGACCCTCACCACGGGTCGGACCTTCAGCGAGGGGGAAGACGTGCCAGAGAGATACTGGCTAAAGCTCAAGGACTTTGCGTGCCAGACGGTGTGCATAAACTACAGTAATGAGAAGGGAACATGGCCTTATTCAACAGTTTTACTCCACTGCACAAATGCAGCACAGAAACTCAATAGCACAGTTGCTCCCTATAGAGCTATTTGTTCAAAAAAAGACTCTTTTTGTATGGCATTGACCCCAACTACGTCACTAAAATGTGATTTTACTGTGGTTCCTGTAGTGTGTGTGGTCATTCTATATATCAGCAGTTCCCAACCTTCATTTATTCATCTAAATTATTCATTTAGCAGATGCTTTTATCCGAAGGGATTACAACAAAGAGGCAATACAAAGTTTTACATTTGTTCAGATAATTACAGGCTAGAAGAAAAGACATGAAAGTGAGGCACAAGTGTATTGAGAAAATAACGTAGATACCATCTAGTAAAGCAGTCTATTCGCATCCAAGGTTTCATAAGGAGTCCTAGTCTAAATGGAGAACATCATGAAAACCGTCTCTGTCTGCAGTGGTGTGATTCCAGGACAGCAGACTGCTGTATACACTACATACCTTCACATCCATCCAAGACTAGTCTTTTATCACAGCACTCCTTACCTTCCTCCTTCACGGCTGACGCCTTCAAATCGATCTGCTTGCTCAAACCAAGGCTATATATTGCGTGGCTGCATCTGCACTGATCATAACAGTTGTTAACTCTCATCTCTCTCAAAGAGAGAGGCTGCTGATGAGCTGCAATGCTCTGAGCGCAGTTTACTCGCTTAAAAATTGCGTGGGAGGAAGAAACCCTTCAAGGACGTTCACAGGTATGCTTTTGAATGGCAAGTGCCAACTTCCAAGCTCGCCTCGACTGGCATATTATTGTTAGGATAGCTAAAGACGTGTGAAGTGAATCCAGACACATCTGTAGGGGAGGCAGGCCAGCAGCTGCCTTTTTAATTAGAAAGCGCTGAGGATTGAGGCTGATGAGCTGTACTGTGGGAAGAGCAAAACGTGAATGAGGGGCTGGGAAGTATTTGATTTCCAAACAGCAGGGAAGGATGATGTAGCCTAACATCATTTTTATACTTTTTGACCTCCTTCCTAAAATATAAATATTTTGGAAAACATGAATATATACAGTATCTCACAGAAGTGAGTACACCCCTCACATTTTTGTAAATATTTTATTATATGTGGTGGTGTTGAGTTTTTTTCTAAAATCCTTTAATACACAGCAAGCCGTTGATTATCCCGCTTATTCCATGGTCATTTGCCAGTATTGACAACTTAAAGCTATTTATGATGTTAGCAGCGCAATATTTAACCGGAAGGGTAAAAATGATGGTTATTTTCGTCAGTTACAGCTCATTAGCTCTAGCTATCTGCCCGCTTCAAATCAGATACAGAGATGAAATAGTTCGGTAAGACCACATTTATTTGAATGAATTTTCGATCGAGAGAGAGATGACAGTTGTGTGTTGTGTGTGTCTACACAAACAATGAAGCTGTTTAGTTACTTTGATTTTACCTCGTTGCTGAGGAAGATAATGTAGTGATCTAGTATCTATGCTATTTTATTAATAAAGGTCGCGGGGCAGCACCGACAATAAGTTTCTGTGTGTGCAAATCTCCGCCGACCTCTCTCCCTCTCACTGTGTTTATGTGCGAGTGGTGTGTGTGTGTGTT